GTTTAAGATTAAGATAAATATTGATAAAAAAATATCGAAGAAGATAGGTTGTGAACTGAAGAATCGAGTGATCTAGTTTGTTTTTTTCTTTTATCAAATCGAAGAGTTTTTCCTCTCTGTAATAGATGTTTTTTCTGATCACTACCGACAAATTCCATCTAAATGATCAAAATTAGGAAAACAATAGAACGAACAAAAGTGTCAACTTCACACTTTTCTAATTCGTCAATACTCATTTAAAAATAATTAATTAACAAAAAAAAAAATCGACATAAATGTAGAATGTCATTTATTCTACTTCGGAAAGAAAAAGAATGAGCTCAAACAGATGTTGTAGAGGAAAGATATGAACTTTTTTCTAAAAATTATTGAAATTGGTGAATCGAATTCGAACTAGTTACTCTATTTGCTTCATTAAATTTTTTGAGAAATGAAGAGATGAAGTAAAAAAAAAAAAAGTTTTATTGTTTTTAATAGGTACGTAGTTTGTTTTCTCGTGTCTTGTAGAAAATGTTTAAAATAGGCAATAAGATGATAAATTATGTTTTAAACACGGGCCGACAGTCGTGTCTAAAATAAGAATGTGGAAAAAAAGATAGCATTGTCAACGAGAAAAAAACGACTCGACTCATTTATTTACACTTCTTTTTCTATAGAATCAATGAAAACTTCCGACACTTTTTACAGTTATTGTTTTTTTCTCTGTTTCCGCTTTACGGTGAACCTTTTTACTTTCTAATAAAGCAGTTCGAGTAAAAAAAAAAAGTTTTTCCAGAGAATAAAAGAGAAGAAAAAGAAAAGACAGACGTTTTTTAAAATTCTAAATTATTTAATTTGAATAAAAATCTATGTAGGAATCATCATGGGTAATGTTAATAGTTTAATAAATGTAACATTAGATAAAGTTGAACCAGCAGTGTATTTATCTGGTGATATAATAAGAGGTAATGTTCAGTTTAATATAACTCAACGAACAAAACAAATTGATGAAATATATTTATCATTAACTGGTGATATTGGTTATACAACAACACGTACAATTCGAATTCAAAATGGACAAATGGAAAGAAAAACTGATTATCATAATATTAGAATATTTGAAAAAAAAATTCTATTAGATCGACCTTTAATTAATGATCAAACAAGAATAGATATTAATCAAAATGATATAAAAATTTTTGAAGCTGGTATATATAAATATCCATTTTCAATACGTTTACCAGAGAATTTACCAGCAACATTACATCCAGAAGATTATCCATTTGTTCGTTATGAATTGCAAGTATGTCAAAATAAGTGAATAAATATTTTCTTTTTTCTTTTTTTGTTTGTCTAATCTTATTTTAAATTAATAAAAAAAAATAAAAGGTTTTAATTGAAAAAAAATGGTATCATTCAAATGATCGTCATCGTTATCCAATACGTATTTATCCTCGAGTAAATCTTTTTAATATAAATTATTGTCAAAGTTCAGTTAAATTTGGTACTAAACGTAAAGATATAACAATAAAATGTATTTTACAACATGCTGCTCTTATACCTGGTCAACAAACATTATTATCACTTGATATTTATAATCCAAATCGTCTATCAATAAAACGTATTGATGTTTGTTTTATACAACGTTATGAAATTGAACAATGTCGACGTCGTTTAGAACTTATTCGTTTATCTATTCCTCAATTAAATAATATTTATCTTCAACATATTGAAACAACATGTCCATTAATTATTCCATTAGCTATTCCTCCATCATTTAATTATAAAAGTCAAATTAATAGAACAATTGTACATGTTGATTTACATTATGATTTAAAATTAGAAATTAAACTCAAAGGACTTTTTCAAGATTTTGATCTACAAGTTCCTGTTATTATTGCTACTGATTCATCTCAACATCCAACTTGTCATAGAATAACATCATCAATTTTAACTAAAAAAAATTTTGTTAAACTTAATTTTGATAATGATAATGATAATGATAATGATAATGATGATATACCTCCACCACCATATGAATCAGTTTATTTTGATGATATACCTAATAATTTATAATATATATATATATATATATATATATGTATTTATTATTTTTTAATAAAACTATGATTTTAATCATATTTTAGTTAGTTCAAATTCATATTGACATTTTATCTTATTTCGATATCTTTAAATAATAATTTTTTTTTCTCTTGCTAAAATAAATCAACTCCACCATAGAGACCGAAATCCAGCGGCTTCTGTGCCGGTCGCAAGTCCGGATAAAGGAAGAGCGTTTGACGGAAGGGGTGCAGATACCGCCGTCTGTAAAAAGAACAAGACGACAGAAACCAGCCATGAGCGACTTCAACACGAAACCATACCGGCTCGGACGGCGCCCGGGTGAACAAGGTCCGCGTCCTCTGTCGAGTGACCAGGGCAGAGTCGAAAAATTGGCGACTGGAAAGAATTCATATACGACAAAAAACACACAAAAACTAAAACTTGCCAAAAATACTCTGACAGTAGGAACATGGAATGTGCAGACACTATGGACTGCTGGTAAGTTAGAATTACTTAGAAATGAAATGAAACGTTTCAGATATGACATAATTGGTATTTCCGAAGTGCGATCGACAGGAAAAGGTGAAACACCGAATGAAGATTTCATCTGGTCAGGAGAAGAATCCTCACATATGAGGGGTGTGGGGTTCTTACTAAGCACACAAGCTAAAAAGGCACTAATAGGATATAATCCAACCAGCTCAAGAATAATTTCGGCACGATTCGATGCAACACCATTTAAAATTTCAGTAATACACGTATATGCACCAACCTCTTCATCTTCAGAAGAAGAAATTGAAGCATTCTATAACGATATTGAGGAAGCATTTACAAAGACAGACAAAAAGGATATTCTTATTCTGACAGGAGATTGGAACGCTAAAATTGGTAATGACAATACCGATTGGAAATCCGTGATGGGAAAATATGGGTATGGCGATAGAAACGAACGCGGAGAACGCCTCCTAGAATTTGCGACAGTGCACGATCTCTACGTATGTAATACAAAATTTCAACATAAACCAAATCGAAAATGGACCTGGGCATCACCAGATGGCATTCATAAGAATATGATTGACTTGATTCTCATCCAGCGAAGATGGAAGACCTCAGTCACCAACTGCCGAACATTTCAGAGTGCAGACATAAGCTCAGATCACTCACTAGTGTTGTGCAATATCAACTTGAAACTTAAGAAACCGCACAACAAACCACAGAAATGCTGCAGAGTTGATGTGAACCGACTGAGAGATGAGAAAATAAAGCAATCATACAGCGCTGCTCTAAC